CTTACTGCACCTAGACTAATGTTGGGTCACCCTCTATGTGCTTATTTTCATTTATTTTTGACGTTACATTTTGGGCGCTAATTCAGAATTAACACAATTTCGATCATGTTACTCGAATTTGAAGTCATTGTTGATTTTGTTTTGAATTATTCATTTAATGATTAGTAATTTTGTGTAAATAATCGCCTTTTCATTTGTTTGGTGTATTATTCAGATGTCATTGCAGTAAAAGCGTTATCGCTGCATAGGCTAATTAAGTTTCAAGATAAGCACATGTTTTTCACCGACATAAACTCATATGTTATATTCGATTACGCAGTCATTTTGATAAAAAGGAGGATGGTTCGGAAAGTTGAAAAGAAAGGGAAATTGTTTTAAATAGAAAAGACGCGCGTTAACCGCCGCTTGTTTGGTGGTGGACGTTAATTGTTGCTCTTTGGTAGCCGCTTATTGTTTTGCCGTATTTGAACGTATGTGTTGCATAACGTTCAGTGTTTGTGATAATAAAGTTGCTAAAGAAGTCAGTGTTGTTTAATTGTAAAGTTTTTTGGAAAAAAGTTAGTGTTTCAAGAGATCGCTCATGTTACATCAGTAATTACAACGAACCCAGTGCCGTCTAAATCGAGATTGAAGTGAAGTAAGGTAAAGAAGCAATAGCATCGTTTTGTGTTTGTGGGTTTGTGAGTCAGTTATAGACAGCGTAATTGAACGAGTAGTTTAGATTATACTGTAAGGTAATTACGATTTCTTTAATGAATTGTTTCAATCGATCGCTTGTGGCGTGGTATGTGTATTCTAGGCCTGAGTGCCTCTTTTAATTAATCCTAATTTGATTGGTTCTGTCTTATGTTCTATGTTGTGTTTAATCGAGCCCAAACTACGACCTAGATAAGAGTTCTCATGCTAAATTTGTAATATACTTCTTTGGCATTGTGGAGTTGATCAAGGGGGCCGAGTTTTCTCAAATGAAGGTCTCATCAGGATTTTTAGTTGTCGCGGAGGCTGAACGTTCCCTGGAAAGAAGCAAATTGATCCCCTCATCATCTGGTCGGTTTCGTGTTCATGTCAGTACAAAAATGTTAACATTGTACTCGTATGTCTGTATCAGTATCTTCTTTTAAAAGGGTATGTTAAAGTTACAGATCTCCGGAAGTTGGAGGTTACCAATGTTCCGCAATATGGAAATGTCAATTTTACCTTTATAACCTCCGTTTTAATAGCTAGCAAAATCACTAACCGCCTTTAGACGTTTTATACCTATTGCCGTTTAAATTAGAATCTTAAATTTGGTTAATAAACTTGTTGTGTATCGCAACCAACCACTCTTCTAAATATAAACGCAATGAATGTTCCGCACCCTAGACCACAGCGCTTTCGTGGTAAAATTTATTTAAGTGCGATCGCGCGAATCCAATAATGAAAAAACACGAAAATGTTCGCTCAGGTAAATACGGCACTTACTATTAGTTTTCGCAACGGATTTAAGTGGACACACGACAATAATTTTGTCGAATTGGTAACAGTTTTCTTTTGTAATGCGGCAATTAACTTCAACTTTCACGATAAAAATACCACGTAGGGTTACGCGGCTGCTTAAACCTTCCGTACACCTCGATTATACGAATTCGTCTGGCACCTGTTGAAAATATCACGCGTTCAACTTACATTGATTTGCTTTAGAAATTCGGCTAAGAATCCTACTCTCTCACCCAATTTTTACTTATGTACTCGCCCCGAATATCGAAATGACCCCAACAAAACAAGCTTTAGCTACGTTTTGAGCGCATTTTTGCAAATTTATTTGTAATAACACAGCTTTCAATCTCACTTTGGCCGGCTGACCGGCTGGCTGGCTGGCAACAAATGCGGAGTAGAAGAACGCTTGTAGAAAGACGAGAAGTGTACATATACCTAACGGGATCGTGTAATTAACAACTTTAGGGACGGGACTATATGTCCCTAGGGGCAAGACGCGCGTCTTCTAGGCCAGTAAATGAACGTGGAATACGGCGATACTGTGTAATTTTCCGCGTCTCCACCGAATCGCATGAAAATTTGGATTTAGGTTCCTCTTACCCTCTACTTCAAAGGTGAACTTGAGCCCAGGGTTGCTTTTACTTGGGGGGTGAATGCCACCCCTTCTCGGGGAGGAAAAAAGATACGTTCAAAATAAGTCCGGAAATTGATAAATTGAGTAATTCTAAGCAACTTTTGTTCTATAGAGTTTTTTCACTAAGTCAATAGTATTCGAGTTAATTGCGAGTGAAAATGTTCATTTTTCAACAAAAAACTACGTTTTCAGACGGTTTTTCGCAAATAACTCTAAAAGTAAGTATTGTATCGAAAAAAGTATTCTTAGCAAAAATATAGTTTATAAACAGACAAACAAAATGGTCTATATATGAAGTCTGTAGACCCAGTAGAAGCAAAGTTGTAGCTCATGAAAAGTAGGTTCTCATTCGTCAAATTCCAAATCGAGTACTTCATCGTGAAATAACCAAAAAATGAAGCACTTTTCGGGGAAAAATTATGAATACTTTTTTAAAGTGTTTGAAAAAACCTTTCTTTTGGTTTTTAAGAAAAGTTCCTAGCATCAAAAGTAAGTGAGTTACGCTCAAAATAAAGTTGGTTCTTTTTTTTTGGTAAAAAAAATTGAGGAAATCACCCCCTAATTAGCACCCCAATTGCAATTAAGCGTTACCGCTTTACGTTTACTTTATTTATGTATTGTTTATATGATCTGTAAGTTTGACCGGTGCAAAGTGCTTATTTTTGAAAAAATGTAGTTTTGAAGTAAAAAAAAATTTTTAAATTTTGAAAAATTGTCTTTTTTCCCAAATAATTATTAGTGTATTAGTTTAGTTAGTGAAAAATTGCCTACTGTAGTAAACTAAACTAATACACTAATAGTTATTTGGAAAAAAAAAGACTTCAAAATTTCAAAATTTTTTTACTTCAAAGAGGGTAAGAGGAACTTAAATCCAAATTTTGAAGCAAATCCGTCGAGGCGCGAAAAATTACACGGCAAAACGGTCATTTACTGGCCTATTCGAGGGATAGTCGACTTTGGGCGCCCAAAAGTTTCTTAGAGCTCTAATCGCGATCTTTCTTGCGTCGCCAACGTAACTTCGAACTATGAGAAGTATCCAAAAATTGAGTACTATTTTGTGGCGAAATCCATCAAAATGCGAATTGCGGGTGAACGGGCCGTCGGAGATGGCCTGACAAAGGGAATATGGTAACCCCCGCCGAAATCTTAGTGATGGCGGAGTGAACTTCAAACGCCAATTGCGGGTGAACGGGAAGTCGGAAGCGGGTACCAACAAAGGGAAAGTGGTTGCCCCCGACAAGATCTTAGTGATGGTAGAGTTAAAACTTCAAACGCGAATTGCAGGTGAACGAGATGTCGGAAATGGGTTCCGACAAAGGGAATGTGACTATCCCTGACAAGATCTTGATGGTGGTGCAGTCAACACTGGCTAATAGAATACTGATCTTCCTCACAAAAATGCGCCGAAGTCCCTTCGATCTCACACGAGAACTTTAGAACCGGCAACACTGTGACGTTTTGACTCTTATCTGAATGCGCTTTATTCTCTGGCATTTTAGTTGCGTTCTCTTTCTCAATGAAGCGGTACACGTATAATGCGGCGGGTTACCTACGATACGATGTTGAGACTGAGACTGAACAACATATACAATTTGTTTATACAGCAAACAATAAACATTCTGGAAGGAACTAGAAGGCATGTCATATTTCACAAACAAAATGAGTCACATTCACTTTGATTCCTTATATCGCCGATGACTACTCCTGCATTGACTTGATTGCACCTTGAAAATGTTCTAGCTAGAAGTATCGCTGCATAACTAATTCAGATCAATTTTGTCTTGCAAATTTTCTGCACAATTATGCGATTTGCTAAACTGATACTGGGTTGGATGGACAGACTTAACTTTTCTATTCCTGTTAATTCAAATTCGCACTCAAAAATGTTTTTATCTCCCCCTATTTCTGTAATAGACTTGTATATCCCTTAGCGCGGTTTTTAACTCATCAGGTTAGTCGCACGAAAATATCTCCGATTCTAATATTAGGTATGACCTTTACGGATAATTTAGTTTAAATTGGTATTGGATTTGAGATTTGTAATTTCTTCGTATTAATCCAACGATATTAAAGGAACTTTTCCTTCCATTTCCCTCAGGGTATCTCCAAATAAATTACCTAAATTTGGTGTCTCTTGGTATTACGAAACATGTAACCTAATAGAAGTTGTTCAAAGTTCCTGGCCCAGGTCCGTTTTTCGTTAATTTTAAATAATGTTTTTTTAATATGCGAAACCGTCTCTTTCATGTGCTGTACTGTTTCGATTTATCATCCCACTCAAAAGCGAAGACCCGGATTTTCCATTCGAGGTGGGCGGAAATGAAATTAGCTAAACCTATACAATTTCCAATCGTTAATGTAAGGCTAAACAAGTTGAAAATGTGTGTAATAATTGAATTAAATAATTCAAGTCGCACATCTGCTGAAAGTTGTAGTCCGAGAGTGCTAATTTTTAATCTGCGTCGATTGTGGACGTTTGGTCAACCCAAATCATAGAGTGGCCGATGCATGTATGCGGTTCATTTCAATTTTCCATAACTCATTTAGGACAGTCTTGTGTGAAATTGCAGTTTGATATATTTCCATTGATTGGTTTACTATGCTGCGGTTTCTATTCTAGGAAGCAGGATTACAGTATCATGTATAACGAATAATGCAGAAAACTAATTTAAAAGTTTTAATTACGGATAAATTTCCGGGAAATGCGACTGTGCATTTCAAATAATACGCATAACATACTTTTTACATTCATTCCAATATCAGCACATCACAAAAGGATGATTTTTACTGTACCGTTCAGTTTTGTCAGTGAGTTGGATTAAATGAAACCCAACACAAAGTTCGGAATGCGTTAATTAACACTGTTTTAATTAATTTTATTTGATTTCAGAGCCAGTAGGATGCAGTTTAAGGCAATTCCGTTGCACCAATTCAAAGTGTATTCCTTTAACGTGGACGTGCGATGGAGAAAAAGACTGTGAAGATGGCTCCGATGAGAATCCTAAAACATGCATCAGTAAGTAGCGTTTATTTCACAGCAGTTGAGGTCGAAAGTACTTTGATTTTGATTAAGATGAGAAGAATTTTTTAACGATCCTCGGGATCGTTTATAGTTTTCTATAAATTGCATACCTCAACCAAGAATGACTAAACCGATACAACGAAATATCGAAGGATCCTCAGTATTACAATCACTTTTAACGACAATTCATTTTGATCTTACAAAATACATTTTATATGCATCAAATTCATGATTTGGTCATTGAGATAATGGCGCTTGGTCTTTTTCCCAACGATCTTGGTGTATAAATAACGATTTTGACATGTTTTGATCAAAATCCATGTGGCTGCCAAAAATACATCTAATTCATGTTTTGGTCATTGAGATATTGCTCTTGATCTTTCACGATCTTGGTGTATAAATAACGATTTTGATCAAAATCCATGTGGTCGCCAAAAATACATCAGATTCATGTTTTGGTCATTGAGTTGAGATAATGCTCTTGGTCTTTTTCCCAACGATCTTGGTCCTTAAATAACGATTTTGACGTATTTTGATCAAAATCGATGTGGCCTCAAAAAAATAATTTAACATCTTTGAATCACACACATGCGGATATCAAATGTGCACGTGATGTACTCTTTCAGCATCAAGATAATGCGTTTGAAAGCTTTTACAACTCCAAATTTATGTGTAAGGAATAATTTTGGGTACATTGTGCTCTAAAACTTTTGACCTATACTATAGAGAAGAGTTATATTGAATTATTACACATCTAAGAGTCATAGGGAATAATCTAGCGAAAGTCCGAACTCGATACATGACCTAGGGAATGAAATATTTTGATTTCTATTATATTGAGCCCGCAGTTTTTCCTGTTCCCGATTCACTCGAAGTTCTATAACTTTTGTTCCTGTTGAACTAACTTCCTGAAAATCAATAGCGTCCGTCCTTAATGTCCAAAGTACCCGTACACCAAATTTCAACACAATCGGCCACTTTTAAAAAGAGTTAGCTCGCACACGGACGGACGGACGAACGGGCGACAATACAAAACTATAAAGGATCTGAGGATCCTTAATAAATTAATGCCTTAATGGCCTTGGTCGATTTGTATCCAACTTCAAAATCGACTACGTTACTGGAACAACTGTTACGTAAGAATTATCCATCCATCGATTCGGGTAACATTAGTGAATTACGAACAAATAGTGTTACTACAGTTGTAATTTCCTTTAAGAGGAGTTTTCAAAATATCATGTATTTTTAGAATCTTTAAAATCTTAGAAATACAAATATAATATCATCAATATCTCCTAGGAATCTTTGTTCAATCTTCTCGAGTCTCCCCTAATCTTGGAATATTTTTAGAATCCTTTAGGAACCTCCTTTAAAACTTGTGTAGAATCTCGAGTCTTCAGAACTTTAAGTTCCCCATTTTTCTTAGAATTTTAGTATTTTGCATTCTTGACTTTTACTATGTGCGATATGTTTGCATTTGCTAATGACATTTGTAGTTTTCGATTTTTGCTACATGTGATATGTTTTTCTTTACTAGAAGCATTGTATTGCTCAAAAAATACCAACATTGGGTCAGATCTCAGAAACGGTGGTCCAAAATGCGTTTTAACTATCCCACTTGATTCTTGACACACGGTACGGTAGCATAACGAAGAAAAAAGGGAAAAGTAGTAAAAGTAAACCGAATAGGCGCGACTTAGTCTTTAGTAAATTTCAAAAGAGAGAAGAGAATACTTACCAAAAGGGGGAAACAAGGCAAGGTCTTGGTGCTGGTCGTGACAACCTAAAGAAATAACATTGATAGAGATAGAAGATAAACAATAATTGATGTCACAATCGAGGGTGATTTAATAAATGATCTCAAAGTATTACAATATGTGGCTCTGAACTGTCAACATTTAAATTTAAATCAATTTTAGCAAAAGGAGGATCAACAGGTAGTTATTAAAAACAAAACAGGCTTCCGCAGAAAGCAACAGAGCTGTAATCGTTCAATGAATATCAAACAAAGGTAGTAATTACAATTCGATTGTATCGAAAACCAATATGTAATCAAACGTTATATCAATTAGTCCTCGAAAATTCCTTGGAACGTCAGGTCGCAACGACCTTTTTGAGCTCAAGAAGGGCGCTTTCTGCCAATCTGTAACAGATAACATAAACAAACAGCTATTGAATTGATAGTTATAAATTCAATGGTACAGCTTATACGCAAGACCAAATTAAAAAAAAAGGATAGTAGACTACTAAAGTAACGCGATTCATTCATTAGACCAGTGTATTAGACAAAAACAAACTGCTAATTGAGCCAAAATGGCCGTTTGACACCTAGTGTCAGGTTTGACATTTGTTGTGAAGACAATTTTGAAGACCAATTAATATATTTAGAAGTGGGTGCACGCAAGGGTTTTATTTGGAGTGGGGAAACGCTTGAAAAAGCGATGCAACTATATTTTTCTTGTGAAGTTAGAGGCTATTAAACGATACGCTCACAAATTTCGCGGTTCACAAAATGAGCCAAAATGGCTGCTATTCGCGTTACTTTAGTAATCTAGAGACTTTAAAGGACAGAACATCTGCACGACCTCCATCGGCAAAACAAAGAGCTATTGTAAAAGAAACCTATAACAATCGTACGGCCTCTAGTGGCACAAATAAAGAAATAAGGTAATAAAAACTACAAAACTAGCTTACATCTTATTAAAAGGGTTTACAAAGGAAATACCTAGGTGACGTAAGAATCTGAACTAAAGCACAAATCGATAAATGGGATTGAAATCGATAAGGAAAAAATACATCTTTTGGTCTAAACCGCCTGTTGTTGAAATGTTTATGATTTTTATTTTTGAATTTGTTTTTAGTTTTCATTTTAGTCTGAGTGGAAGTGAAGTGTTTCCAAGTGCATTTGTATTGATTTCGGAACCCACAAATCAAGCTTTGGTCGCATTAATGATTAAATGAAACTAACGAATTTCTGTTCTTCTGACAATACGCGATTTACGCTAATTCGTTTATTTTAAGTGTTCCATTCCTTTTCTTCGAGTATTTCTTGAAGTTCAAATAAATTTAATAAGAATAATCATACTTTCGCTGTTCGCCAATCTTAATCTTTCTTTGTTGTGGTTTTGTACAATAAAACTGAGCAAATATGAAAATAATTATGGCTTCAGTTAATTAACGGGAACTTTCAAAAATATGCGATGCGTTCGTAATATTAAGCGTATTACTAATTAGAAGCGCCCTACGCCGTATTTTCCTTGCTCTCTATTCATCTGACTTACTCGAGATGAAATTGGTACCTTCCTTTGATGCAATAAGAACATATGAATGTGTCGTAATCGATATTGACACAATGTGGCTGTCGCGAACTTCTTGGATTTCGTCATTCCTCACACACTTTGGTTTTGTAAGTGAAGTTGATGTTATTTGTATACAAAATTTATTTCAGAAATTCTAAAAACCATAGCTACATTATGCTTCTGTGCATTACTTACAACTACAAACAAGCAAAGAATTTGTTGGTTTAATAATCTCGCATTACTCTCCCTTTGTTCATTCACATAGCGTTTAATTACAGGCCCAATTTTTCAACTACTTGCGGTGCTTCTCGCACAAATTACTTTTTAAGGCGCATGCTGATTTAAAAATAAAGCGATTTTTGATTTGGAAACGTGCAGGTATTCTAGAAGTACACCGCCTGTCCAATATATTAAGCAATCGTTTTGGAATCTCGATTCTATTTTAGCTAAATCTTTGTGGTTCAATGGTAGAGCGTTGGGCTGTAAAGCCGAGGTCGAGTGTTCGAACCTGGGCCGAGGTAAGAATTTTTCATCTGTGACAGATATAGGAGTTTCCTACTCCCATTCCCTTTGTCGATACCCGCAATTCGCGTTTGAAGTTTTGACTCCACCATCAGCAAGCTCTTGTAGGGGACTACCACATTCTCTTTGTCGGTACCCACTTCCGACGTCCCGTTCACCCGTAATTCGCATTTTGGTCGATTTTGCTAAAAACCCTCCACGAACTGAGTCTTCAACTAAATTACGCGCTCTTCAACCGTCGCGAAACTATAGCAGTCTCCAGGGGCACTGACTTTTGCTAAAGTTTCGAACGTAATCGACGAAAACTTGCTCGTAATCAATTTAACGCAACATTCACATACGCTTCTTTTAATCGGCTCACAAACAGCAGTAGGGCGAGACAGCCGCCTTAGGCTGATCAGCATCGTTTTCTCTTCTTCCTACTTAATGGTCAAGCCACCTCATCCGTTCAATCTCGTAGTTTTCCGGTGAGACTCGAAACACCGTTTCGTTATCTAGCACATGGCGTTGGTTGTAAATAAAGTCAATTAATTTGTCCGATAACGCCTTTACAAAACATCTGACCAGATAAGACTTTTATCTTACGTCGACATTACGGTTAATTCCCTTAGTTATGCGTTCTAATGATAATGAACGAATAGACTTATATGAACAAATACTAAATTTTAAAAAAAATTAATACTACAACGACGATTTCAGGCATTTTCCAATTTTGTATCTTTTTGACCAAAATTCCCTCAGCCCCTATTAAATAAATTGAAACATTTTGTATACGTCATGTCCTAACTGCTATTTCAAATGTGTAAACCGGAAATTACGTTAACGACACCTAAATTTTCACCACAGGGTGGCCCGCTCTCATCTTCGGCATTATTGCAACCTAGAGAAACCAGTCTCCCTAAATAGGCCAGGATTTGCCTTTGATATTAGGACACGATCATCTAAAAACAATTCCCTAGTCAACTATCAAGATGTCTCATTACATCGTCAATCAGGTATGCCTGAGAAAAAAATCCTATCATCCCTAATCTTTTTCCTAAACTCATCTTCGGCATTATTTTAACCTAGAGAAACGAGACCCCCTGTAGTTTACACAACAATATCAGCGGTTTTTAAAGATTCTTATTTTTAAATAACTGCGAAAGTGCATGAATTAGGAAGACATTTTAAGTA